AGGCAGTCTCATATTTGATATCTTTCCTCTCCTTTCCTTACTTTGTCATTTCTTTCCTTGAGGTATCGCATGCTCCAGCTCCACCAGTTTCAGCTAAGGTCTTCAAGCAGGAGATCACAAACATTGTTGACTACTCAGGTGGTGTTCTGTCAAACATTTTTCTAACTCGCCCTTATGCTTTGATAGCATAAAATTTTCAGAGTTCACAGCTCCGCCTTTGAAAGAAGAAACGGAACCAGTACCACACCAGATTGTTTGGGCAGAAGCTGATGGTGGAAATGGTCGAAGTTACTATTTCCATATCTATACTGGAGGTAAACTCTTTCTACGACTCCCTTGTGGATCGAAACAAAAACACTCAGAATAGCTTAATTAAAGAATCAACATGGGACCAGCCGAAGGTTTTCTATACTAAAGAACAATATGCCGCCCTGATTCAGAGTGCAGACAATCCTTGCTCAAGTGCGGAAAGTCCTGTGATGAAAAAGGGTAAGTTCCGAGCAACCATGTTGTCAGTCGTATCGAAATTTGAACTTTCCTTTCAAGAGGAACCCTCATCGAGTGATTGTAATGGAAGTGAATTGCCTTCGGTCGACATTCCACAAGAAGAGACGTCAGCTATGCCGGAAGTCAAAACTGAACCTTGCGAGGAAGAAGCGGCTAATGTTTCGCATGACATTTGTGATATACCACTTCCAGGACCTTGTAAGTTTTTCTCTCAAGAATCAAGCATTCAACGTTCGTCAAATTATTTTTGAACTTTTGGCTCAGATTCAATGTCTAGTGTTTTATTGGTGAAACTGATGCAAAAATCAACTGTAGCTTCATTCAAATGTATGTTGGGAAAAGTGGTAACTATTTAGAGCCTAATGATCATTATGTGGTATGAATTAAAAGGAATGAAAATACATTTCATAATGGCTCGAAGAGAATAGAAGAGACCGTCGAAAGACGGTTGACGAGAAGTGATAAAGAGAATTTAATTTTATTGGGTATCGACTGAGTTATGAAATGTCGGCACTGTTTACCCTTTACTGCCCCACCTAGGCAAGCTTCTAGCCGGTTTCTTCTTCTTTGAAAAAAATTCGATAGAAATCCAGCTCTTTCTCGACAGAGTGGGGCAGTAAAGGGTAAATAGTGCCAAATGTCTTGTTTTGTGAACTTTCTATAGCACTTCTCCTAGTTGGTTTAAGTATTCACAATATGTTTATGGTAACTATGGCACTTTTGAGAAGGTTTCTAAGCTAACAGTTCCATCTGTAGAGATGATCGCTCCGTTTATGACAACTCAAATAAGTGTTTCGTAAGCGATCCTTAATCTTGTACTGTCGAAAAATTAAACTCTTGACGATGGAGAAAAGTTCATTTACATAAATTAACACGTGATCATGGGTGAAAGTTCCCAGAGGTGAAGTTCTTCCATGACTTTGAAGGGATATTTTAAGCTAGTGCGTTGGAAGTGATTGCCCGCCCTCGTGATTTGCTGTCCAAAATACTTGTTATTTGTAATTTACTATTGTTCTAGCATGTGCCGATGCTTCTACAAATCAAGAACACCCTATTGGATCAACTGATAGTTATCCAGAACCTCCTACTGGATCAACTAATCAACATATTGAAGAAATCCCACCAATAGCAGCAGCGCAGTCTATTGTTTCTCATGAAGGAGTAAGTAGTTTGATGGGTTACACATCTAACCTTCCGTATCTTAACAAGGTAAAAAGGTAAAAACTTTAAAAAACTTTAAGGTAAAAACTGAAGTAATGGACGAATCGCAGGCTCAAACACCACATGGTAATTCGGAACAGGTACAAGTACAACAACCGCCTGAGGAAGAAACTCCTGCGCCATCCAGTGGACCCCTGGGTTCTTGGACGAGAGTCACGAAAGTTGACAGGTATTGCCTTCTTATTAGAGGACTCTGAATGTTTTTGTTAATTTTTAGCAGGTGTTTAGCATAGCTTTTTTTCCTTTTTATTATAATGTAGTATATTTTCCTAGTGGGCCAGTATTCTCACCTCTCACTGCTAAATATCGTGCAGAAAAGGAGAGAGAACGAAAGGAGGCTGAAGCACGAGAAAAAGAAACGGAGAAGCTGGAACCTTTGATATTTACGGAAAAGACCAGTGCTGTATTGACAAAGAAGGTTAGGGACCTCGCAAGAATTGTTGGTGATCGTAAAATTGATCGAAGTAAAGTGGGCTTCTCTTCAGGTGAAAGGACCAATCGAGTTTAAGAAAAGGTCGGCAACTAAGCATGTGCGGCAACGAGCGCAGTAGTTCAAGTCGTACTCTTTCTAGATTATTGCATGTTGTTTTTCATGGGCTTTTTTGTTTATGTATAAAGATTTATATGAGCTCAGAAATTCAAATAGTTATAAAGGCAACGCGCATTTTGAAATTTTGTGAGTTGTGGTTCAAACCATTTTTTGAGTGGGTGAGAGTCAGAGCTGGCTGGAAACCATTTCCTTTCGTTGGCTTAGTAGGCCTCATCGTTATCTACACCTCTTTCTCAAGGTTCACAAGGAAAACAGCTTTTCTATATAAACGGCTAGAGCGGGATGCTGTTCTATTGGTATGATGATGGTCGTTCTGGAGCTGTAGCTAATTTATTCAGATGATCAAAGCAGTTAAAGAAACCTTATAGAACGACCTCGTGTGCTTGGTGGTTGTTCAAGGATTTCCCCGATAGTCCCTTGTGTCCCTTTTTGTGGCTTACTACCGTTTCCTGATTGTTTTCTTCTCTCAGCATGTCAATCAAATTTTTTAATCAGAACACTCCGGAATTCTACACATTTTGATCCCTCCGCCCCAGTGTGAATAGTTCATATACGCTTGTTCAAAAAAGCTAATTATTTATGTAGTACTGGTATTTCCTGCAGAGATTCCATCTCGAGGTTATGATGTGTCCGTAGTGTGCTTTGTAGTTGTTTTCTCGTTCAAATGTTCTTGATTACTTTATGTGTTTCTGATTCTGTATTCCTTGTTGGAGTTGTTTAAGTAAAAAGTTGTTACAGATCGGCTGAGTGGGTGCTCGATTACCTTACTTGTATCGTTTTGGCAGTGAGTACATCACCTCAATATGTGATCATACTCGCTTTACTATAATAAATTTTTCATACTGGGTTGTTCCATCGTGTGCTAAAGGATGAAGTTCCTTCAGTGCCTTCGTTTTTTAGTGTCCACTTGCGTTCCAAGTCTGCGCATTGCAGGCTCTAAAAAACAATGGACGAAGACGATGATCTTTTTGGCTCAGATCTCGATGATGATGATAAAAGAGAAAAAGGAAGTCCGGAAGACAAGAAGTTTTTCTTCCGGAAAGAGCTACGTTCTATGCTCTATGGTTTCGGAGATGACAAAGTCAGTTCTGCTTGGGCAGTGTCGGTATTCAGAGTGAAGTGTTTCGTANAGTTCTTTAGCGTTTTTGCGGCTGCATTCGAAATCTGTTGTTGTTAAGGTGCCTTATGATAAAACCCTCGAGACACTGGAAGGAATAGTCCTGGATTACATTAAGGAGCTATGCGAACGAGCTATGAATGTCAGTTGTTTTTATTCTGGTTTTGAGCGCTAATGTTCGTAACTTGATCCGGTTCTCGCATTTAGGTGGGCAAACCAGACAAGATTGCATTGGAGGATATCCACTACTTGATTCGACGTGACCCCAAGAAATTTGCCAGAGTCAAAGTAAGTGTATATGACATTTTTGACGACATCGTTCCTGTAACCACTCTTCTTCAGGATCTTTTGTCGATGAGCGAAGAGCTCAAAAAGGCTCGGAAGCAGTTCGATGATGTGAAGCAGTTGTAGATGGAAGGGTGCAATACCGCATCATGTTGTATTATTGGTAATAACAGATGTAAATAACTTGTATAGCTTGGGAATGCTTGGTCTAATTGTATAAACTTTCGAGTTTTCGTGGATAGCGCTCGTCTCTACCTCATTACAGCTATCCCAGAGTGAAGCAGGGAAATCTATTTTTTGCTGGATTCTCGTTTCAATCATCGTTATAATGTGACTGTTTCACAGGATTCATTGTTTCAAAGATTCATATCTTTCCATACAACTTCTCAATTCGTCCCAGATGTGATGTATTTAAATCCAAATCCATAACCTTGTTCGTTCCAGCGACTTAGAGCATCCAAAAGCGGAAGAAACCCCGAAGGCGAGTTAAGGCACAGACTGCGATAAAATGGTTTCAGAGTTTTCCCCCTAGGAGTACCCACTATTCCCCAAAGGTGACGGAAAGGACGTTGTTGGGTCCTGAAACTCAACAGCTAGGGCATAGTGGGAGCCCCGTTACCGGATTGCTTAAATGACCCGCCTCTCGACCTATGCCACGTCAGACGGGTATCGATGTGATACAGATTGCAATATTCGCTCTAGTACCCACATCCAATCAGCTGATCACCGAGTAATGGGGCGTTCTTTTCCTCCTTTTNTATTATTATCTGTTATTTTTTGCTGCTGGTATCCCTATTCTAATTTTCTACTCAAAAGGCTGAAAAAGGTGGGCTATTTTCGCTGTTACTAGGATTTTTTGTTAACTTATGCTTATGAGTGAATGAATTTTAAAGGCCTACTGTATTCAGCTATTCGCACCAAGACCCATGCAGTGACATACATCGCATAGCTGGTCCAAACGGTGGATGGGCACTACGTGCGTCAGAGGATATGTGCGGCAACTTACGCGGAGAAGTTCGTAACTATTTGAACGACTTCAGCGCCTATCATTGGGGCCCAGAGTGTTCGAAGTAGAGTAGATCAGAATGATCATCTGACCCTACTAAACTTCTCTACTTCGACTTTGTGCCCCGAAAATTGGCGTCAGATTCGTACAAATCTTCACGAACTTCGCCGAGCAAGTTGGTGCGCGCGTCGTCGGACCCACGTAATGCCACATATCCGGTCCCAGCGCCTCATTCTTCTTCATTTTTCTGGTCTCATTCTCGTCCAGCCCAGTTTCAACCGATTTTTCGAGCCTTTTTCACTTTGGGACACCTATTCACGCAATTTCTGCGCCTTCATCGCTTTNGCTTTCCATTTTATCTTCCATTTCTCGTCATGATCTGGATTCACCGAAATTATTGTGAATTGTGCCTTCAAGGGGAGACGGGCAATAGAATGGGTTTTGTGTAATCGATTCGCCGCGCGCGGTTGGCGCGGAAAATTCGCTTCGCCGTTATTGCAGCTCTAGCATTATTCATTCAATTCGATCGATATGCCACAGAACTCGGACACCACGCGCCACTTCCGGGTGACGTCCTAGCATTATCACTGATACTTTTTGAGACTTTAGACATGTTTGTTGTGACTAGGTTCTCGATCAGCCGAACAACCTGAGCTCGACGCTGGTACCATTTTTGCAATTTTTGCAAGGCATGGAGTTGCCTTGGCAGGTATCGAACTCGCACTCTCTAAGTGCAGACGTGAGCCTATACTTTATCCTCTCGGCTATCCCTCCTTGAAAAGGTCCATTGATAACGACATCTGGTCACGGGTCATCACCACTTGAAACATTTGTGAGGCCCTCCAGGCCTCGGTTGCCTAACTGTTGAATCTTTGAAGGGTGTTCCTTTCTGAGAAAGCGAGCAAAAGATCGAGGCTTCCAATTAAAGGCAAGTACCATTTGCGCTGCCCTGTTAGTCCTCTGTCAACTTCGTTGCAGGAAGATACTATTATTTAGGAAGGGGCGAAGGGTTAGTCGATTACTACGACTTTGTCAGAGGAGGGAAACCCTCGTCAGTTGGGCGAACCGACCGGTTCCTCAAGACGAACTAAACCGGTATAAAGAATAACATGCATGATCCATAAAAAGGAGTCTATCGTAATAGGATTTCGCTGATGGATTTCATTGCTTATATCAACATTTGTAAGTACGATTTGTTGATCCTTTGCCCAGAGCTTCAGCCAATTTCAAAGAAGTCGGTGGTGTGAAGGGAGATTCTTACGATACAAACCTTCCAACTTGTTTACTGATTTGGAGTCGTTGGTAAACTTCATAGTGTTAGATTGGAAACTACTAAGCAGAACCATCTCTGTCTATAGATGATGATTGACGAGCGGTCGGTAGGGGAGCGGAAAACTCTTGAAATGATGAGTTGGTTAGGTGTAGAACATTTCGTATCCCATCAATAGTTGCTACTGTGTAAGCAACTTGTATAAAGGAGGGACGTTTTTGAAAAAGCGAACGTAAGAAATAAAACTATTCTTTCTAGGCGCATATATTGCCAAATATTGGTCAGCAGGAACAACCGGCAATTTGCTCGCTAAATCGGGGAAAGATCGGGAATTACGGGGATGTGTTCGGTGAGTTGAGCGAAGGAAGGAAATTTCTAACACCGGTAGAAAGATATGACTGGAAGGTAATCTTATATAAACATTGTTTTTATTATAAGCGTTGCAATAACTTTTTCTGTTTGCCTGTTACTATAAATCGACGAAAAGAACTGGAGACGGCTCCTTCGAGTTTTCTTGTAGAACCTTCGGCTCTTCAATGAATCTGAATCAGAGTGTGCTTTGAATTGGGAGTAGCCAATTTAGCAAGTGAATTCAATCATTCACGTAGCCAGAGAACTTACTCTTCTTTCTTGTCATCCATCAAAGTCATAAGATAATCTTTGCATGATAACGCAGAGTATATGGTGATCAACAGCCAAGCATGAACGATACCGAGAACCCAAGCAAAACAAGTGAGAAAAATATTGGTGACTAAGTGATAGCTGCATCCCCATTGCTTGTAGACGGGGAAGGGCTAAAAACCTTACATTTCTATATGAAAGACCATTCTGGCCGCTATTCAAATTGCCCGGCTCATAAAGAGCCTCGTGTTACAGGAATCCCCTCCTTCGTGTTACAGGAACGAAGTCCTTTATTGAGTCCACTACCCCCTATTCCCATATCCATATCTATAGCCCAACTTATCTTTTCTTTACGAATATAAACGGGTATTGGTTGAGATTCCTAGACTAATAATGGTCGAATAAGTAAAGTCTTTGAGGGTTTATCAATCCCATCTGAGGTATTTCTTGGTTGGCCCAGGCGGATATCGATCCGGGATTCGAAACCGGACACTTCGTACATAGCTCTCGTCTACTGTAACCACTATCATTCACGATTACCGTCGAGAAGCTGCTTCAAGCTATTAGTAATCACGTACGGGACAGAAAATAGCCAGAATCAGCAGGAAAATTGTGTTCATCCGTATGTATCCTGTGAATGTCTCCTGGAAGCAGAGTGACACCTTTCTTCTCTCATAATTTAAGCACGTACTCATTAAATTCACCTCAGTGTTATGGATCACTCCAGACACTGTTAGTACAAGCCAGCTCTGGTTGCTGAATTTGATAAAGTGGATCGAACTCGGCACCTTTCGAATGAGTAAGCATCCATGATAAAACCCCTCCTAACTTTACTATCAATTGAATCATTCATAGCTCTCAATGATGAAAAGTTCCTTGTCACCACGACGCTCGACCACTGCCGAAGAGGCTTCTCCACTGGGAAAGTTGACAAAAGGTAGGTGGAGGCAAGGACTTAAAACTTGTTCTATTGTATTCACAGGGCAAGAGGTTGGGTGTACAAGATAGCGATTGCTCGTAGTTAGCATCGTTCATTATGGTTGCCCCAAAGGCCCAGGCCACAACATTTTGAGTTGCTTAGTTCAAGTGGAACTGTGGAATCAGCGGTCTGGAATAGTGTAAAAGTAAAAGGGGTGGCTGAACGAAGTGCCAAATGTATGCCATTGCGTAAAGCTGGCTACAGAAAGCCAAATGAATGATGATGCCAGACGATCCAAAGTTTACTTCTCAACAATGCTGTCAAAGCATTCTGCTCAGCTTCTCCAAGGTTGTCGGAAGCGGTCATCGTAGGGTCTGGCATGACGCCGAGATGCCAATGACTGGTTAAAAGATTTCAACAAGTTCCTAATCTAAACCAATGAATGCATGTATGTAATACAACAGTTCTCACCCTCTACGACAGTAGGCAAATCGAGAAGCCTACTGTTCCCTCCGGGTGCAGCAAAAATACGGGTTTCGGGATTTTTAGGGC